CCCATCCCCATGGATTCCCTCCTGCTGCTGCATCATTTTCTCCCGGCTGTGCCCATCCGGAGGGAACGGCAGTGTTGTGGCTCTGCCTCCCGGCTCCCGCTGGCTGCGGAAACGGCCCCGGATATTTTGGGATGGGTCTCTCTGTGTGGTGCCGAGATTTTCCTGGCACTGGAGGTGCTGGAAGAGTTACCAGCAGTTCTTCATCCTGGTGGGAGCTGCAGCAGCTCCTGCCCTGYGAATAACGCATGTTCCCACCTCTGCCTTTAAGTTTGTGTTCTCTGGCTTGAAACTTGGACCTTTTCCGAGCGTTCCTGTAAGGATTGGGTTGGGTTTGCCTGGCTGCTGGATTCCTGCCTGTCCCAAAGGGATGTTTGCATTCCGAGGGAAAAACCAAACGATTCAGCTGCTTTTTAGGACGATGAGGAAAATGTGTTTTCCTGAGCAGCTCGGGAGGGTGGGAAGCTGCTGTTTGGCAGCGAGATGGTGGCAGGGAGAAATACCTTTCAGTGTTCCCTTAAAAACTGGGTTTGGAGTTTGTCAGCGTGCAGGACCTGGTCTCAGCATCCTGCTCCTCTGGGCATTTGGGRTGAGATTTTTGTGGGAAGAAGTGAGGGTCAGGTCTCCCTTGTCCTGGGCTGCAGGTACAGGTTCTCAAGCCAGGCTTTGCTGTGTGTTGGGATCCTTTTCCCTGCTACTTTGCCAAGCTCTTCCCGATGTTCCCGTGTGCCTTAGGCAGTGCTCAGGGTCCTGGGCTGTCTGCATGTGACAGGGAAATGGAGGGAATTTCCTCCCAGCAYGGACAAGAGCTCTTTTCTGGAGTGCTTTCTATCCAAGTGCAGTACATTTTGGGATGCCTGAGGAGCGGGCAGAGAGTCAGCAGTGCAGAGTAGCTGCACAGTGCATACAAGATGTTTACTTCTGTGTGCTTTGCCAGCACCTAAAATACAAATAAATCATTAATTTTAAGGAAGGGAGGCTCGCGAATCCGGGAAGCAGCACTGCTGTTGGTCCTTGCTCCAAGATTGCCAGGAGCTGGGAGCGCTGGGGGCTGAGCAGGGTGGCTGGGTGAGTTTTGGCAGCTCTCTGGTGGCACTGCCCTGATCCTGCCCCGCTGTTTTTYGGCAGAAGTGGTGCGGAAGGTGAACGGGCTCATCTCCGCGGGGCAGTACGGGCGCCTCTTCGCCGTCGTCCACTTCGCCAGCAAGCAGTGGAAAGTCACCAGTGAGGACCTGATCATGATGGACAACGTGCTGGAGGCTGAGTGTGGGGACAGAATCCGGATGGAAAAGGTGAAAAATCCCAGAGAGATTCCCTGCAAACGTTCCCAGAGGAAAAACCTGGAATGTCACCAGTGTTAACACCGTGTCCCTGTGGGGTTTCCAGCCCTCGCTCCAGCTCCTTGCTTTGTTCCAATCCCCTCAGTTTTATTCCAGTTTCAGATATTATTGTGATTTCTGTTCAACAGGGCTGGAGTGAGTCTTGCCAGACTCTGTGGGGAGACAGATTTTTTTTTTTTTGTCCTGACTTCTTCCAAAAAAAGAAAATGACAGTTGTTGTTTCCAGAGCCAGCATCGAAAGCCTGYGTTTGCCTTGAGGCTGCAGCACCCYGGATCACAGGATCATTTAGGCTGGAAAAGACCTCCAAGATCATCGAGTCCAACCTCTTTAATTCCTTGCAGGGCTCCCAGAGGGATTGCAGACTCCTCCTGGCTCTGCAAGATCCTTATCGCTCCGGGCCGGGTGGAGGCAGAGGGAYGGGGCGCAGAGGGGAGGATTGCCAAGAGCTAATTAATATCTTTGGATTTTATCCTCAGCCTTGGACACCCAGCAGGAGCTTGCAGAGGCTCATGAATCCAGGCTGAAGGGAAATATTAGGAGTGGGATTCTGCTGGCTTCACCCTCGTGTTGGTTGTTGGAGTGAGCAAGGAGAGCTTAAGGAGATTTTCTGTGCTTGTCTGCTGCTTTGAAGCCCAGTTTTSAGGCAGCTTTTTTTGGGATGTCCTCAGCTGTGTCCCACATCCCTGTGTCCAGCAGAGGAGGGATTTCTGTGGTGTAGCCAGCTSGGGATGCACAGCTCTGGGTGGGAGTAAAGGGGAAAATTTGCCTGGGCATCAGAGCCCTTTGGGGATTTTTTCCTGGCAATACCTGTCTCAAACCAACACCAGGGCTTCTCATGACCATCCTGTGTTGCTTGTGAGTGCTGCCAGAGGGTTTGGGACGCAGCCTGGCACACATGGCCCCGGATGTGGCACTTGGGGATGTGGTTTAGYGGAGATTGTGGTGCTGCTGGGTTGATGGTTGGACTCCATGACCTTGAAGCTCTCTTCCAGCCTCGGTGGTTCCATGAAATGCAGCCTCTTCCCCTGCCTGTTCCTTTAGATGTGGCTGAAATGCCCCAAAACAGCAAGGGCTGCTGAACCCCCCGCATGTTCATTTCTTTATGAAAAGGTCTCATGGAGGAGAAGGAGGGAATTGTTTCTCTGCTGGGATTTGCAGCAATTCCTGTAAAAACCCAGCAGTTTAGGAGCTGCYGTTTGCCCAGATCCCACACGAGGCAGGTTTTTCTTCTCCCCTGATCGCTTCCTATGTTTTTTACGGCTGCTGGTGAGCCAGGACAGAGAGGTTCAGCGTGTTCTGATCACAGACAAAGATACTCCTGCAGTTGTTTTAGGGGGGTGAGCTCTCTGCAAGAGTGATGGCTCTGCCCCTGCCTGTTCGCAGCTTCCCTCACCCCCCTCTGCTCCGTGTCGGGTTTGAGACGTGGGAAGGGTTTGGAGCAGTTGGATTCCTTTAGGACTGCAGGATTTTGGAGGGTCCTGTTTGCATTTCTGCCTGGACAAGGGGCAGTGATTGGTGCCTGATTTATTCCCCCCAGGTTTTGCTGGTCGGCGCTGACGACTTCACGCTCGTGGGACGGCCACTGCTGGGGTGAGATGCTTCGTAAGGGAATTACGGGACATTTTTGTGCTTCACTGTGGCCTTGGGGCTCTGCAGTGCCTGCAACTGGRATTTATCAGCACTAACTCTGATCACAGCCCTGCAGCTTTTGGGAGAATCGCCAACAAAGCAGCTCCTCAGCCTCTGGTGCTGGGAGAGCAGTTCTGAGGCAGCTCCTGAATTTTCCCCTTGGCTGGATCTTTTCCTCCATGTTGCTCTCCAACACCTCTGCCCTTTCACCCTGATTTTGGTGGTGGTCATTGTGAAATAAGTCAGAAATCCTTTTCCTTAAGCCTTGGGGTTGGGTTTTTAACCCTTTTCCTTTTGCCATTGTCTTACCCCAGCAGGSCTTAACCTTGATTTCGGTGTTCCTGGTTTTTCCTTCCTTTCCAATTGTGTCACCCAGCAGTCACAGAGCTTGGGGGAAGATGATGTCCCGTGCTGGACAGGATTTTGGGAGCTGCCAGTCCTTGTAAAAGCACTGGAAGCAGATCTGGAATAGCAGATGGTCAGGATTCCCTGAGATATTCCCAGATTCCGCACTTGGGGCRGGTTTTGGGAAGGGGAATCTCATCTTTAGGATTAGAAAGGGGCTTTTATTTTTGGGAGGGAGATGCTGTCACTCTGTGTGCTGCAGGGCACAGCTTGAATCCCAGCTCTCTGGTATGGGATGGGGGAAAATGGCATGGGGAAAAGCACAAGTGAAGGTAAAGTTTTGTTTTTTCCTAGCCCAAACAGAGGTGATGGGAGCTTTCCCTCTAGGAAACCTTGCTGTTTCTCCTGCTGCCTGCCCCTCTTTGCAGTGGGAATGCCAAAGGGCCTGTTCCTGTCCCAGGCAGCCAGGCTGGGCTTGAGTCCTGCAGGGAGCGAGCTTGGCAGCTGGAATTATTTATGACCTCCAGAATTATGATCCTGCAGGGTTGTAGCTTGCCTGGATCCTTTTCTCTGCCTCCTGATAGCACCTTTGAGCCCAGCTCAGTGAGATTCCAGCCTGAGTTTTTCTCACCTCCTGCAAAATCCAACCCACGAAGCGTTTTGCTGCTGAAGGCAGCGGGCCCAGCTGTGTCGGGCTCTGGGAAATGTGTGACCCCCTTCTTATTTTTATGGACATTCCAGGCATACCTAGAACGTTTGGTGGAGATTTTTTATTTTTTTCCTTGGGCTCTGCTTTGCTGAGAACTCGTCCTGCTCACAAGCTTTCCTCCAGCAATTTGGTTTCTGTTGTGCTTCACCCTCCTGCCAGCAGTTCCTAGAGCTGCGTCCCACAGAGAACCCTCCARGGCCTTGAATCCAGGAAGTTCAGTCCCAAATTAGTGGTGAGCCACGGCTGGAGTTCAGTTTGCTCTCTGGTTTCTCCCTGGGGCTGCAGGGTTGCTGTGTGCTTTGGTGGTGCTGGAGCAAATCCTGGAGCTGGGGCATCGGGGTCACCCAGTGCTCTCTTAAAATCCACCTTATTTTATGTCTCTTTTCTTCTGGGCTGCTCSCTAACTGCAGATAAATCAGTTCCCTCCAGGAGTCGATCTGTGCTTTAATCACACCCCCAGGGTGGATTTTAAGAGCTGGTGGCTGTCTGCAGCCCTTGGCCTCCCGGTGACCCTGCTGGAACCATTTCGGCTGGATGGGCTTCCCCCTCTGCCCCCCTCCAGTGCAGACTGAGCAGTTTGTCAGCRAAATGGCCTTTAAATGTCTTCCTGTGGCAAACTTAACGAGCTTTTAATGGAATTCTGCGGGGCTGTGCATGGAAGAGCAGCTCCTCCTCCTTCCCTGTGGCTGCTGACTGAACCCCCCCCTGTTCCAGAGCTCCAGGCTGGATCCTGCCAGGGGGCTTCTCACCTTCTGAGACCCTTGAAGCATATCGAGGTTGTTTTGGCAAAACTTAGCTTCCCTGATTTCCCCAAAACTCTGTTCCCACAGCAGCAGCTCGTGGCAAGCCTTGCTCAATGCTGGCTGCGGCAGAAAATGGCTTTTTTGGTGAATTARAACAATTAGCTGGGGAATTATTGAGAAAGTTGGAAAGCATTTCCAACGAGGTGAGGAATTCTTCCAGCTGCCTGTGGTGCTTTAGAGGAGGAGGAAGGATTTCTGTGGGGAGCAGTATGGGAGGAGGAGGAAGGATTTCTTTGGGGACCAGGGGCAGGGATGGGTGAATTGAAACAATTGGCTGGGGAATTATTGAGAAAGTTGTAGCATTTCCAACGAGGTGAGAATTTGTTCCAGCTGTCTGTGGTGCTTTAGAGGAGGAGGAGGAGGAAGAAGGATTTCTGTGGGATGGGCTCATCCGTCAACAGGAGCAGGGATGGGCTCATCTCGTGCCGAAACCAAAGCGGGGCACGTGGAATCACCTGGGAATTTTATCTTGCTGCAATCCTACAAGTTCCTGCAGCTCCCTGTCTCTCCTGCCTGCTCAGAGGGAATGATCTCACCCCTCCCACGGCAGGGGAGTCTGAGCTGTCACACCTTACCCAGGTACAGCACCTGCAGCCTTTTGGCTGTGCCTTGGATCTGGAATTGTGTCAGGCGGGATCTGGAATTGTGTCAGGGTTATTCCTGGGTCTCTGCTCCCAGAAACTTTTCCCCCAGCAGCAGGATGTAAGGAACCAGGAAGTGATGCTTTTAAGGTTTGTTTTGAAGGAAGGACCTGGTCCGTGTGGAGGCCACCGTGATCGAGAAGACGGAGTCGTGGCCCAAGGTCAACGTGCGCTTCTGGAGGAGGCACAACTTCCAGAGGAAGAAGAGTAAGAGAGGAAGGGCACCTTTCCCTCCCTGCTGGGGGTGGGAGGGGAGGTGTCCCAGCACAAGGACCCGAGGAAGGGGCTTGTTCRGAGCATTTACCATTCCCTCAGTGTTCCCTAACTTTCCTGGGAAGAAGAGCAATCCTTTTTTCACCCCAAAGCCTTAAACATTGGATGTGTCATCGCAGCTCCCAGCAAGCCCGAGCAGGGTCCTGGGCAGATTTTGGTTGCCAGATAGCTCTCCCTGCTCTCAGAGAGGGAAGAATTGTGGCTGATCTCTTTTTTTCCCCCCCTTTTCCTTCTTTTTCAGTCATTGCAAAYCCCCAGACCGTCCTGCGGATCAACACCATTGAAATCTACCCCTGCTTGTCCTGACTGGGGATCATCACTGTGCCAGACCATTGTGGAAATAAAACTGCCTCGGCTCTGGAAAGTTCTGGGCTTGTTGCTGTAGTGGGAAATGGAAATCTCTATTTCTTTGTAAAATAATAAAGTATTTTTTAAACTGTTGTTTCAGCCTTGCTGGTGTTTTCTTGCCAGGAGCTTTAAACCACCCAGGGTGCACCGTTGGGCCTTTTCATGCCTGATGGATCTTTTTGCCTCCACACCTCTCTGAATTTTAGTTCAGGAATTCCGAGTTTGCTGTAATTCCTGGCATTGTGTGGCTCCAGGAAATATCCTGGTACTGAAGAGAGCAGTGAAACCTGGTGGCTGCAAGGTCCTGAATCTGCTSCCAAGGTGTGAAAATCCTTTTTAAAGTTTAGCACTGGGAACTGGAGCTGAAAAATTCCCCTCTTAAAGGTGAGCAGCCATGAATTCTGTGTGTGTGACACCATCAAAATAAGACACTGGTGGTGTGTTTCAGGGCTGGGTTTTGACCTGCTGAGTGTATTCCATGTCTAGATCCTCCTGGTATTTTCTGTGATTTCCCTCCTCCTGCACATAGAGCGCTGTCCTTTCCTGAGCAGCACATACGAGGCCAGGTTTTCTGGCTGGATATCCACCAGGAGGGGAGTTTGCCAGAGTTCCTTGGAGCTGTGGGGTTCTTAAAAGCCACCATGGGAAGGGATAACAGGCCCTGCTCCCCTTGCCTCTTCCCTAGGGAATACCTTCCTTCAAACTGGGAGGAAAACCCACCTTTGGGTGTCCGAGTGCACCCACACCACAGCTCCTCCTTGCACAAAATTGGCCAAAAYGCATCTCCCACCTCTTCCCCTCCTCCCCCTGCAGCTGCAGATCCATGCTGGGAGCAAACAGATCCCAGCAGCAGCGGGCAGAGCRTGCCAAGGGCTGGCACAGGGAGTGYAGCCCCCGGATCTGGGCTGTTCCAGGGAATTGGGCTGGAAGCCCTCAGTCCCTCCRTGTGTGAGTGCTGGGGCTGAGAGACAGCATGTCTTGGCTTTGAGGGGATGTAGCAGGAATGTTCTGTCCTTCCCAAATAGGAAGAAACACTTGGAAATAACAYGAGATTCAGGGCTCTGGAATAACAGAGGGCAGAGGCTGCTGTGGAGTCCAAGGAAAAGCTTAAGGTCTCYAAGTCTGATCCCCCAAAAAGCTCTTGGGAATGCAGTTCTGATCCAAGGGAGGTGTTGCACAAAATTAAGGTGGTTTTGCAGCATTTTKGGGGGAGAAAAATTCAGGAAGGTAAAAACGGACCAATATCAGCAAGTTTTGGGGTTGCACAGTTTATAATGCAGAATAGTCAWGTTTTATTGCAATCATTTACTCAGMCTGAGATAAAAAGGGATTRTTTTAACATTTTCTTCAGGAGAATTTAAATCAAAAGCTTTTTATCATTCCAGGTGGAAACAGGAATGCCCAGTTCTCTGGGATGAAGCCACAGATCTCCATGTGGCATTATGTGTCAGGGGGATGATTCCTGGTGCTAAATAATACTAAAATAGTTTAAGAGCAGGAATTTCTCAACAAAAGCAGGTTTGGGGTTGKTTTTTTTTCCCTTAAGTCACTGATTCACRGTGGAAATTTATCTGCCATCCTTTCAAAGGCTGGTGCTGTTCCAAACCCCTCCAATGCTGCAGCTTTGAAGGGCTCGGGCTTGCGTTCCACATAAAATCCTTCTTTGAGATTGAAGGTAGAGCAGCCCCCTCCTGGCCATCYCACAGGATTGTTTTTTCCGGCGTTTCTGGAGGTTTTGGTTGCCTCTGTGCTGGGGTTTGTGTTCCCTCCCTCAGCATGGTGCTCTGTGCTCTAAAATCAGCAGACAGCAGGAGGCTTCCCGCCGTCAGGAGCTGTTTGTGGATCTGGTGGAGCCTGACAGACTGGCTCTGGGGCACTGTTCTCCTTCCCAACAGCCAGCTCCCGCGGGAAAACAAAGTGCAGGATGCTGTCTTTGGAGCCCACGGGGCAGCAGAGGGATTTGCAGCTCCGTCGGGATTTTGGGATCACGYGCTGTGCCAGCCCGTGAGCCGCTGGCATTTATCTGGCAGCACAGCAGCTCGGAAAGCTCTCAGGACGTGTTGTTCAGGCCTTGGGGCAGCAGGGAAATGCTGTTCATCTGCCCCTTGCCTGTGTTTTTCATCCCTCAYAGCTTTGGGAAGGAGCCTTTGAGCTCTGAAGCAGAGCCAGATTTGTTTTCTCAGCGTGATCCGCCGCGTGTCAGAATCCGCCTCAGCAGCAGGCAGSAACAGGACACCAGCAAACGGTGTTGGTTGGATTTCTCTTGCACTAGAGGTTTTATTATCTCCTCTGACCTAAAAAACAGACTTTCCTTAAAAAAAAAAAGAATGGGATTGTGTTCCCAGTGGGTCCGTGTTGATGCAAATCCCACGTGGAGAGGTCCGGCTGCGGTCCCTGTTTTCCCTGTCCCTATTTATGGCACATGGAGAAGCAACCGGGATCCGTGTTCCTGTGCCTCCTCCTGAGGTTTCACAGCTGAATTGGTGTCAGAAGGAACGGAGGGAGTCAAGGAAGGTGAGGGGCTGAAGGCTTGGGTTTGCTGCAGCAGCCCAAAATATGTTTATTGACAGGGTAGCGTGGCTTTGGTTATATCCTTGGAGAGCATTYGCTGATGCAGCTGCACATGGGAATGTCTGTGCAGTAATTAATGAGCAGCAATTAAATCTGGTGGGTTTGAGCTGGAAAAGGGTTTGAGCCGTTCCAATGGAGGCTYGGGCGAGGAGTTAAACCTTGGGGAAGCAAAGCTTTGAGATACCTCAGCCATKTTTGGTGGCTCCTGTGTGAGTCTGTTGGCATTCCATGCCTTTGGATCATCTCACGGAGAGAAAAAGGACTGGTGGTGTTTTATCTTCCTTTCCTCAGTAAAAGCACACCATCAGTCTCTTTCAGAMGTATCAAAATTCAGTTTCTGGGCAGCTCTCAAAACAGCTGGTGCTCCAGTAGGGAAGTGGTTTGGACCACGGAATGGGATCTTCCCGACATGAGGCTGTGGCCTGAGGGGATTTGGGTTTTTGCTTTAGGCCAGCTTTTCATTTTGAAGAGCCTTTCATTTGCTGCTTTTCTGTTTGCAGGGCCACAATTCGTGGGAGCCTCTGGCTTGGCTCCCAGAGCAGACTCCGTGTCTTGAAGGACCGGCAAGTGTGGAACAGCCTGAACCACAAATATTTCACCAGGAAGCAACATCCCCTGCACCTTCCCCACCTGGCTGCGCTGCACAATGCCTGAGGTGAATTATCCAGCGAAAAAAAATCCTGTTTGTGTTGTCATCCAGCCAAATATTCCCTGGCAATGTGGCACTGTGTGGGAGCACACGTGTCGCTTCCCCGCACTCAAGGGAGCTGCGAGTGTCTCCCAGCTGCTCCATCAGGGACACAACCCCCCAGCTCCAGGACTCCCACTGCCCTTTCCCTAAGGAATCCAGGGATATATTTGTCTGGAACAGCTGGTATTGCATTGGAAGGCCATTGTGGTCATGGAGGTGGTGGCAAGGGAGCTGATTTTCCCAAGGTGACATTGGAAGTGCATGGCACGAGTGCAGCTGTCCTTCCACTTTAAGTCCATCCTTCTTATCCCTACATCCCTGTGAGTCCATGTGGTGCTCAGAATTGAGGCAGGTGTGGTGCCCAGCTCCCATGGCTGTGCTGCCGAGGTGCTGTACCCAAGGCCAGGGCAGCGGGAAGCTGGAGCAGCAGGAATTGTTACTCTGGATTCTCCCAGCCCTTCCAGAGTGCAGGGGTTGATTTTCTGTGAAATTTACCCATTCGTTGTCACACAACTCGCAGGAAAAGGGTTTTATCCCTGGATTCTCCCTTGTTTGCCCAGAATCAGGCAATGTCTTGAAACTGGAGAGGATCAGGCAAGAAGAGGACTTGATTGCAGACAGCTCATTTCCGTAGGAAATGGGGCTAAAAATAGGGAAGGAATGTAACGGAGACTTCTTYTTCTTGACGCCCCCCGTTCTCCAGCTGGGAATCAGCTTTTGTCCCAAAATCTGTTCATTGCCTTGCAGTTGTTTTCTGGACCCCAGATGTAGCCATGAGCCTGATTTCTGCCTTTGGAGGAGCTGGAGCAGGGCTGTTTCCAGGGGCTGATGCACAGGAAAGATGGCAARATGGGTTTCTGGGAAGGGTCTGCTGGTTCTCCAGGCTCCCCACAACAATCCCTGTGTTATCCAGGGGCCTCCCTCCACACTAATCCTGCTGGCAGCAGCTGTGATCCCGATAACCCCGCGGCTGCTCGAGTGCCGATGTCCCCACAGGCAGCGGGACGTTCCCTCTGGACACCTGATAGGGGCTATAAATACCATGGGTGGGCTCATGTTCCCTCAGGCACCGAGCTGGCTGTGCCAAGGCACCCCAGATGGTCAGGCTGAGAGATCTTTGTGCCAGAGGAGTGGCTGCAGCCTTTGGAAAAAGGACTAAGTGCCTGCTGTGGGTGTTTAGAGGCTCCACACCCTTGGCCATGTCTCTTCTGCCAGCTTCTTTTGCAGCTCCGGTGTCACCTGGGATCTGCGTCCCACGGCTCCAAGGCGTTCTGGGGTCTGATGGAGAGAGTCAGGATGCTGCTCGAGGTGTTGCCAGCCTTTTCCCTTTTCCCAGGATGCCCAAGGCACATCCTCGCCTGCTGCAGGCACTGCTCGGAGCTGTGACACGTCCCCTGCACACCCGAGCACACCCTCAGACTGCTGCTTAGCACCAAAACACACCAGGTTTGGTTCCAGRTGGAGTCCTTGCTGTGGGATATCCATGGGAATTCAGTCGCTGGTTTCTGTGGAGCCAGGATTCACTCCTTGCCCTGCTCGTGGCTGGGGCCAGGCCAGCTCCTCTTGTCTTTACTAACCTGTTTTGTGCACAGACATGGGGAAAATCATGATTTCAGGCAGGGATTTGGGGGCAGGCTGTGTTTCCCTGGCTGGGGTGGTGTTGCACCATGTCTTTCTCTCCTCCTTTTCAAAGATTCMCGGAATCCCAGGATGGTTTGGGGTGGAAGGGACCTCACAGCCCATCCGGTGCTATGCACAGGGACACCTACCACTAGCCCAGGTGGCYCCGAGCCCCGACCAACCTTGGCTTTGCCCCTTTGGCGGGAGCAGCTTTCCCAGTGCGGGAAACGCTGCCCGGAGCTGTTGCGTGCGGGGAAACTGAGGCACAATTCCCGAAGCGCCTCCGGGACGGGGTGAGGACCGCCTCCGCCGACCGGGGAGGAGGAGGGGGGGGAGGAGGAGGAGGAGGAGGACGAGGACGAGGACGAGGACGAGGAGGAGGACGAGGAGGAGGGCGGCATCAGTCGGGCCCGCCCGGGGCTGATCCCAGCCCGGCCCCCGGGGCGGAGCCGGCGGAGCAGCGCCCGGCGGAGCGGGGGCAGCGGCGGATCCCGGGGCAGCCCCGGCCCGGCTCCGGGATGAGCTTCCCGCGGCCCCTGCGCCGCTCCGTGAGCCTCAGCCCGGCCCGCACCCTGCGCCTCGTCGTGCTGGGACAGAGCGCTGTGGGCAAGACAGGTAGGACSGAGCTSYGCGGTGTCCCCSCGGTGTCCCCGCGTCCCTCCGCCATCCCCCCTGCACCTCTCGGTCATCTCTCTGCTATTCTCTGGCACCCCTCTGGCATCCTCTGCATCCCTCTGGCATCTCCCCAGCATTCCCGCGGTGTTCTCCGTCCCGGGCAGAGGGACCAACCTTCCCGTGTCCCTCAGAAAGCCGGGACAGGGGACATCACCCCGGTGTCCCCCAGCCCGTGGGGTTTCAGGGCGCTGTGTTTCCTTCCCCTCGAGTTTCCCATATGGACACTCGTCCCACCGAGGTTTTCCCGTGCAAAAGGGGTCCCCAGCTGCGTGGGGGGCCCGGGGTGGACATCACTGACCGGGAGAACTTTCCCAAAAGCCGAGCTCGAGATTGGGTTTTCGCGGGTGTGAGGAGTTCGCTGCTCACTCGCAGAGCCCGCAGCAGCTTTGCGGAGCCTCCTCCACAGCACCGGGCTGTTTTCCTTCGGGAAAACTCCCCTTCCCTGCGCCTTGTTCAGCGCTCTCCGTCTGTGCCTGCCGGCCTGGGGGTTTGGGATACTGCGCTGAGGGCAYCTCAGCTCCCTCCTTCACCCCATTCCTTCCTGGGGATCATCTTTCCCCATTTCCCGTTCCTTGTGAGCACTTCGCGGGCAAAGGTGTCCCCTGTAGCACCCAGGGGTGGGGTCAGAGGCAAGGAAAACGGGGGATCCATATGAGTCCACATTGCAGCGCCCGATAGGACACAGCCAAGCTGCCGTGCTCTTAGKGACAGGGAATGTCCTGTCCCTTTGGAAAAGGGCAGGCACCACAGCGGTGGCACCTGTGCCGGGAGCGCTGCGTTTCCGCGTCCAGCMACTGGCATTAGCGAAAAATCCTAATTCCCTGATTAAACCGAAGGAARCAACTCGCAGCTCTCCCTGAGCGCTGCTGGAGCACGGGATGGGGCTCAGCTCCGGGGGATCCAGAGCCGCGGGGGTGTCCCTGGCAGCGCTTGGCCCCGCCGGAGCAGATGGAGCCGCGGGTACGGGGTGTTTGGAGCTTTCGGCTCGCCCCCAGCCCAGGCACGCGTGTCTTCCTGCTGCCGTGCATCCCAGCCGGCACAGGGGTGGGATCATGCCGAGGGTCTTTAAAAGTTCCTCCGGTTGGGTTTGTCAGCCTTCGTGCCCCGCAGCAGTGGCGTTCGTGCCGGTATGACAGTGACACAGGCCGGGGGTCGGGGCACAGGGKGGGTCATCGGTACGGGGTTGGTGTGGAGCAGAGCTGGAGCAGCCCCCGGGAAGGGCAGGCACACGATCCCCCGCGGGCTGGCGACCCTGAGCGAGCCCCTCCCCATCTGTGTCCCCTGGGCGCTGCTCTGCACGTCCTCCCCCGAGAGGGGACATGGTGTCACCTTCCCCGGGGACTGTCCTGCTGTCCCTGCCCAGCTGGCAGGTGACACTCCAGGGGATGGAGCGAGTGTGAGAGAGGCGAGGAAGGAGCCAAAAGCAGCGGCATCATCGCTCGAGCTGCTGTGGGACTGGGGAGGACATGGGGGCAGGCAGCCGGTCCCCAAGGTGGGGATGGCATCCCTCCTGCCCAGCAGAGCGGAGTGCAATGTGTGTGTAGGGCGGGGGGTGAGGCAGGGGAGGCTGCAGGTGGGTTTCATGCAGGGCCGCTCCCCAGAGCATCCCCGGGAAGAGCTGCTGCATTCCTGGGACACAGAGCCAGGTCGGGAGGGCTGAGCGGTGGGAACAACCAAAGGGCAAATCGCGTGTGGGCAGCTGCAAAAGGGAAAAATAACCCTTGGTTCTCAGCAAGTCTGGGGTTCCTCGGAGCGGTTTGGAAACCTTCAGGATCCGGTGATCCGGGGTCCCAGACCCTCCGAGCGGGGGTGGGTTTGGGAGCAGCTGCGTGGTTTAAGGATCAGGGCTGCGTGAATCACCGGTGGGGGATGGAAATCCAGCCCGGCCAGGGCCTGYGTTATCCTCTGCTGCTGCTGCTGCCCGGCGTAAACTTTGCCATAATCCAGAGCAGAGCTCTGCCTGCAGCACRTGGAGCGAAGATGGATCGGTGCTGGATCGGATAAACAGGGCAGCACGTGGGCACTCGATCCTGAGGTGCCCAGCCTGGCTCCCGGGTAGGTAAATCACCCCTTGAGCCCACAGTTAATGCACCATTAACCCTTCCAGCCCCAAGGAGAGCTCTTCCTGAGGCGACAGATGTTCGGGATGGGGAGAAAAACCTCCTTATAAGGATGGGTGGCCACGGCCGCAGCGCCTGTGGCCGCTTCCCCCACTGGCAGCTCCACTCGTGTTCCTGCGCTCCAGCCAATTTTTAATCAATCTAATTGGCTCCTCTTCTCATCCCACACCATGTGCTCCAGCTTTGGGTGGCTGCCTGACATATGACACACAATCAGGTGCTTTCCAGAGACCGAGCCTGCCTCGTCCTGCTCCCCCTGATAATTCCGTCGCCTCTTTGAAGGTGCCTGTAGGTGCCTCCTGCAGGATGCCTGGTTATGTCCTCAGAGCAATTTGGCTCAATCACCTGCTTTTCCCGTCAAATCCTTTCCCTGCTGGGCAGGGTTTAAACCCAGAGATGGATTGGGGGGTGAGAAGATGGGGAAGCCCCCAAAGAGGAACCAGACAAGTGTGGGAGGCAGGAGAAGTTGCTGCATCCCTCTTTYTGTGGTTAATTAAGCCTGGCCCATGTAGGGTGCCATATTCCTGGAATAAACACAAAGATCTTGACTGGCCTGGTGTGGGTCTGTGAGGGCAGGACACCAGAAGCATCTGCTGGTGGGCAGCTGGGACAAACTGACCCTGGGTTGCACAGGAAAGGGAGCTCGGAGTGTTGCTCCAGCCTGGTGGTGGTGTTTCATTCTCCCTTTTGTTTCTGGAAGGGTTTTTATCACATGCTGGTTCTGGTGAGTTTTATCCTTGTTTGTTTTCCCTCCCTCCCTTCCACCACAGCTTCTCCCTCCTCTCCCTCCTGGCTCTGTGCTGCTGCATAGCTGTTTTTGGTCTTTTTTTTCCCCTGTTTCTTCCCCCTGTTCCTCTAATTTCACTTTCCACTCCTTCTGCCTTTCAACTCTCAGCCTCTCCACTGCCTTTCACTCCCATCTCCATTACCATCATTAACACCACCTTGAGGGACTCAAGCACCACTTCCACACTCCACTCTTGCACCATCTTCACCCTCCCAACCATGTCTTTGTCGCGAATTTCCCTCTCCAGGCATCAGCACTGTGTTTTCCTGGAAAAGACTTTAGGGCCAAGTCCAAAAGGTCCCGGGGAGGGTTTTGCCGGTGATTTGGGATTTGCTTCGCCTGGCTCTGGTGCAGGGAGTTGGGTAATCAGATGAGGGGGTTTAATTGCCTGAGCTGCGGCTGCTCCTGCTGCTCCTTTGCCCCTGCAAGGAGGAAAATTGAGTTCAGAGGACTGACAACTCTTAACAGGGCTCCTTGTGTTCTTTCCCAGCATTGACCGTGCGATTCATCACCAGGAGATTCATTGGAGACTACGATCCGACCCTAGGTAGGAAAACTCCTTTTCCTTGGTGCYGTCACTGTGGCAGAGTGACTCTGCKTCCAAGTTTGCCATATTCCCTCTTMYTTCTCCTCAAAGGCCACAGCCATCCTGAYACCTCCCTGGCTCCTGCATCCCTTTTTCCCTTTCTGCTGTTGTTCAYGGCARAATCCRTTGGGATGAGCCATYGGATTGCAYAGGGRGGTGCTGCAGGCTCRGTCATGGGATYATAGAAYCATATAGGATCACATAGAATTATTYAGGTTGGCAAAGGCCTCTAAGAGWCCAACCATCAAACCAACAGTTCCTCCTCAGTTCCTCAAATTCCTTCCCAATCTGCTGGGGGGTGGCTTTTAAGGGACTGGAAGCATCTAAGCCCTTGGAGCCTATGCTCTCCAAATTCTAGGATTTTGGGGKTTTTTTGAGCACTGAAGCTGTGTCCTTGCTGGAATGTCCCAGAAATGTCCCCTCCCCTCCTCCCACTCTCCTGTGGAACCTCTCTTTCCCCCACACTTTGGTCACTGCTGCCCTCTCAGCCGCCCAGGTGACAGAGGCCACCGGGGCTGTGGCTGCTCCCCATGGGTTCTCTCACACACTTTCCCCRTCTGTGCTTTCCAGAAATGATCTACAGGCACGTGGCTGTCATGGACGGGGAGATGGTGCACTTTGAGATCCTCGACACGGCCGGACAGGTGAGCTCAGCYGGGAAAACACCATGGGAGCAGAGCAGCCAGTCCCTGCCCTTCCACTGGCCTGATCCCTGCTGTCTGCAATACCGTGGTGTTTATCTCGAGAAAAGGGATTTTTGGTGAATTTATGTCTCTCTAACATCGGTTACAGTGTGGTGGCTTTGGGTAAATATTTCCCTATTCCCGTGTGGGGCGCAGCTCTGCTCCCTGTGCTGGCAGAGCATTCTGGTGGCTCCAGAGAGCTCTGACTGCCCCATGTCCACATCAGGACAGGGCTGATGGCTGTCCCCACCTGCCACAGAGCCCAAGCCACCCCATCCCCACCCCGGGCTGCCGGTGTTACCGCTGCCACCCCCAAACCCTTCCCGGAGACGGCGCCGGGCCCTCGGGAGGTTTTTCCGGGCTGCATTCGGCAGCGCTGGCATTCCGTGTGCCCCRGCAGGAGGAGGACTCGCTGCAGATCGAGGAGAAGATCAAGTGGGGTGATGGCTTTGCCGTGGTGTACTCAGTGACGGAYCGCTGCAGCTTCGACGAGGTGATGCGGCTCTGCTTCCTCATCAACCACCTGCACGCCAGCCCCAAGCGCGGCGGCGCCGCCGAGCAGCCGCCCGTCGTCATCGTGGGCAACAAGAAGGACCTGCAGTTCGACAGGATGGTGTCCACCGAGGATGGTGAGAACCTCTCCAAAGCCCTCAAGATCCCCTTCTACGAGATCTCCACGCGGGACAGCTACGAGGAGCCGGTGGCGGTGTTCAGCAGCCTCTACCAGGAGCTGCTCCGGCAGGGCCACTTCTCACCGGGCTCCTTCAAGAGGAGGACAGTGTCCAAGCTCATGGAGAAGATTCCCAAGATGCAAGCCAGCTCCAGCCTGAACTCGGCGGGCCGGAGCCTCAGCTTTAACTCTTTCCGGGATTACATTCCTGAGTGAGCGGCCCCGCTCCGGCCCGGGATAGGGGCGGCTGCTGGGGATGTGCCGACTTTCTGCAGGGGAAGATCAGGAGTGGGGAGGGTGGGATTGGGTGGGTTCTTACAAGTGGGCTTTGTGCCAGCAGGGAAGGTTTTCTCCATCCATCCATCCGATCCCTTTGTTCCTTCCTCCTCCCCTGGCATGGCTGCAGTTGCAGCCAAGGTGGCCCTGGTGGCTCCAGTGGTGTTGGGACAGTCCCTGCAGGCTCAGCCGTGTTTTGGAGGGGCTCAGACTCAGCACAGACACGTCTGGGGGGGCTTCACCCCTGCCCTGAGCCTTCTGGGTGTGTGTGTACCCCAAACCCAGCACCCACCACGCCGGGTGACCCCCAGGGCCGTGCTGGCTCCCAGGCTGGCATCAGCCATTCCCTGGGAATGRAGCCAGCTTCCTCAGCCTGGCTGGTGAGTGAAACCCCCTGGATCCCCCCTGGATCCCCTTCCAGCCCATCATGGACACAAGGGAGGTTCCAGGAGCTGCTTGAGGTGCTGCTCATCCCCGGCCCTGTTCCCTGAGGAAAATCACCGTGGGCTGAGGATTCATCTTTTTGCATTGGGCAGGAAAGGCATGGGAAGGAGCTGGGTTTGTGGCTCATATTCTTTCCCCCACTCCGGGTGCCAAGGGCTGTGTGGCCAGTCGGGGTGGCTGTGCTGGGACCCTGTGGTGTGACTCCCCTGTGCCCCACCCCATTGTCTGCTGCTGCGTCCTGTGACAATAAAAGCCGAGTTCCCAACCGCCTGTGGCACTCCCAGGATGGGTCATTTTCGGGATTTGAAGGGAAGGGGGACACGGTGTGGGATCACCCTTAAATTAGGGCTGGGCACCTCCCTTATCCTCCCCCTGAGCCCTGGCACCGTGCACCCTCCTGGCTCCCTCCATCTCTAAAAGGTTTCCCTGGAGGATCACAGCCTGGGAAACCACTTAACCCAGCTCCAGAACCCACCCAGACACCCCTTCTCCTCCTACCGTTCCCAAAGGTGCTTCCTGGTGCTACCTGTGTCTGTCCAAGGGGATTCACTGAATTCCATCTTTGCTCAAACACTCACACTCTTCTGTGGGAAAAAAATTAGCCCAGTGAGGGGGCTGGGCCAGGAGAGCAATTTGGGGCTGCTCCTTCTCAGCGCCTTCATTAAAATGCCAATTTTATTTGATTAAATTTAATTTAATGAATTAAAATTTGCTCAGGGCTCTGTGTATGAACAGACCCCAAATGGGGCCCAAACACCTCAGGGGGCTGCACAAGGAGGGTTTTTGTTTACTTCTACGGGGTTTAGGGCATTCCCAAGGGAGTTGAACAGTGGGAGCTGGGGTGGGTGCTGCTGGCTGGCTGGAGAGGATCCAGTTTGGRAAGCACTGGGATGGGGAGAGAAGAGCTTAAGAAGGATTAAACTCCACTGGGATGCTGGACACACACTCGAGCCTGTCAAATGAAGGATTTGGGTGCCCTCATTCCACGTTGCTCAGTTCCCAAATATTGCCAAGGCTTCTCCAGAGGGATGGATTAGCTGCTGGCTCGAGCCGGGCGTGGYGGAATCCACAATATTCAGTAGGAATAATTCCCAGTGACGGATGAGACAGGATCAGCTCGTGAGSAGGAAGCTGAGCCAGCGCTGGAACAGCATCCCCAGCACTCCTGGCAGTAGAGGAGCACTCRGCACGGCKGGGATCGCTGTCCTGGAGTAACCCYGGCCCTTTTTTATATCCCAAGGAACCCAGAAGGCTCCGTGTGGTCACTGCCACAGCCCCTCACCAGGGCTCCGGCCCTGCCTGCTATAATTAGCACCAAACCTCATTAGGAGAGGCAGGGGCAGCTCTTCAGGACTGGTAATTGCTAATGACTGAAAGCCTCTAATGGCTCTCCAGGGGCAGTTTCCTCTCCCTTATAAAGGAAGGATGCAGCATCTGTTGGGGTGGGGAGAGGTTTTGGAGTGGGGGGGAATTCTGGGGGGGGGGCATAAATCCTAAATTCCCATGGTGAAGGGTCTGGGCAAGGGAGGAGGAGGAGGAGAAAGAACAAAAATAAGAAGGAAAAGAAGAAGATGAGGAGGAAGAGGAAGGTCCGTGCAGCTTTAGGGCCCCGGGCAGGTGAGTACAAGGTAGGTCCCAGAAAAGAGGTGCCAGTGCTGATAACTGCCCCARGGAAGAGGGATGGATGGAGCTGGGGTGATCCCCTGGCAGGACGTTCCYGTGTGTGGTTGGAAATGTCACCTCCCTGGGGACAGCTGGGTGTCCTGGAGGTCATCCTGCACCTCTTCAGCCTGTGGGGGCTCAGCCCCATGGAGAGAAGCCGAAGAATTTTGGTCTCATCATCCAAATGGCATCTCCAGGGCCGGGATTGAATCTGGCAGCGGGCAGGCTGCAAATCTGCTCACCAGATTTCTGGGAAGCTTGGGAGAGGCAGATGAAGCAGAAAGGTCCTTTCCAAGAGCTCCCTCACCCCCAGCAGCTCCCTGCCATGCCAAGCCCCCCCAATTACCCCCCTTTGTCCCCTTGGCCCAGGGGTTTGCTGGAAAACCAAAAGCGTGGGCTGAGGTTGTGGGGTGCAGYTGCTCTCTCTCTGCAGCCACAGCCTTTATGAYCRGTTGTCTTGTTTYMAYTTAAAAAACAGAGKTTTGGGGCTTTCTGAAGGCTCCTCCTGGTGAGTCTGGCCCCACTGCAGCCCTGCTCCTGGGAGCATGGGGASAGTGGAATTGCAAACAGCCCTTTCCAAACAGGTTGTGCCTTTGGAGACCCCAAATCAGCACACTCACCCCCCTCTGTGGGATTTGAGCCCGGAGCAGGAACACTGAGGGTGTCTGGGTGCTGCAGCATTCCCTGGATTTGAGGTACCCAGGCTGCGTTTGARGTGCAGGGAGTTGAGTGCTCCATGAAGGGGCATTTCCTCAGTGCAGCGGGTTCTTCTCTCCCCAGGTTAGCAATTTTAGGAAATGTTGTGCATTAGCAGCATGGGTTTGGTATTTTGGTTCCCAAAATATCAGGGAAAAGGGGAATAGGGGGTACATGGGGGCTGTTTCCATCCCATCGGCACCAGCCAAAACTGGCAGCTGGAGCTCCTGACTTTCCAGCTGGAAAATTTATCCACCCACAGATTCCCCAAAATCTGCTGCTTGACTTGAGGCCCTCCTGAAAGCCCAGCTAGGCTGTGAATGGACACGAAGGGCCCCCAAATCCAGGCATTCCTGGTTCAGGGGACACAGTTGGGATGGGATGGTCGCTTCCAAGGGCTGTTCCTGCTTATAAGGCCACGTTGTCAGTGCGAGCCCTGCTGCTCATTTATTGCTTTATAAATAGCTGAGGAGTTCATGGAAAGCTGGGATTGCTTTCCAGGAAGAAATCTGGGCTGAGATTTGGGTGTTTAGGAGCCATATCACCCTTTTTGCCTCTTTTTCTCCCCTTTTCTTTTAAACTGAGCCTAGCTCAGCTCCAACAAGGAGCTCCCTAAGGCACACAGAATTCCAGCACAGCCAAAGGCTTTTGCTGGCCCTGAAAGGCGAGGCTGGGAATTGCAAGGGGAAGGAAAACCAAAGGAGAGCACCCACCACAGCACACTGGCTGGTTTATTCCCAGGATGGACTCTGAAGGTTTTTTCCCTTCAGATAAACTCTGGGAGGGCATGAGGATGGGATATCCATGCTGCAGGATTCAGGGAATCAACTCTGCTTCGTCACTGTGTCTCCCAGCTTGTAGATACCATGGATAAATGGATAAAAATGGGAGTTTTTATCCTACAGTTTGAGGAACTGTAGGATCCATTCCCTCAGGGAGAGTTTTGGGATGAGGCTGCTCCACACAGGGGAAAATGAAGGAGAAATGCCAAGTCCTGGAAGCACTTTGCTGCTCCCACCAGTTTTCCTCTGCTCTTGGCCAACCCACACAGCTTTCCTGTATTTTTTTTTTTTTTAATAACAATATTTAAGAAAGCCCAGACCAAAAACCCCAGGGGGGTCTGGCCAGGCTGCTGGAAGCTGCGGCTGTAATTACTGGTGCTTTAAGGCTGTAGGAAAATATTGATGGAAAGGGCTGGACCTTCCCAAGGGCAACCCCACAAAAGTGGAAAACCCCTGTGGATCTCTGTGCTCCCCCTTTCTSCAGCCAGCCTGAAAGGTGAGGTGCCACATCCTACACAGCACTGGGATGGCAAATCCCAAAATCCTGGAATGCTTTGGGTTGGAAGGGACCTTAAAGCCCAACCAGAACAGGTTGCTTCAAACCCCTTAGCAACTTTGGAGCTTGGAAAGCCCCACAAAAAAAGGAACCTCAAGGTCTTTTCAACCCTGAAAAATCAGGAAGAGGGAGAAGATGCTCCATTTTGCATAGGAGGARGCTTTTAAATGTTTTTTAAAAAACYCTGGAAGCAGAGGGGCAAGACACCCTCCTGGAATYCAGGGAGCCACCCCAAAATGTTTTTTTTCCCAGTGACCGGTCAAGGCTAAATGGTTTTTGTTGGCAGYAGGAGGAAGATGAAGGGAGGTGTCATTCTGCTGGTGGGAGCCAGGACATGCTGAGATTTGTGATGGGCAGCAAAACTCACAGAACTGTTCCTCCTCCCAAAAACCAGGAGTTCTGGGAGGATAGGAGAGGGCTCAGCCCAAACCCCCAGGCCATGAGCAGAGCTGGGAGGGCCCAAACTTGGCCAAATGTCGAGTTGTTGAAAACTCCAGCAGGACTYTTCTCTGGGATTTGAGCTGTTTTTTAAGAAAAGGTTTTTAAAAACACCCCCTTTTCCTGCTCTCCCACCTGGCCCCATTTCCCCGCTTATCCCACTGGACGCGCCATCCCGGGGTTTCCCTAATCCCACCTTTGGGGCCCCTCTGCCGTTCCATGGRTGGGATTTAATCTTGTGCCATGTGACAGAGTTTTGCCTGCAGCTGCTGCAGCCAAGCAACCTCATCAGTCAGCCCCCTCAGCCCGTTTTGGGGTGAGAAACAGGGAATTGTCAATCCCTGCACAGCTTTTGTGGCTTTTGGCTGCTGCCACCACATCCCTTTCTCTCCCCTGAACAGAGGATTAAACCTTCTTGGTGTATCAGGACCCCAGAACATCCCCAAGATTAATTTTTTCTTCCCTCTGCCCCATTTCTGCAGGTTTTGCAGCCAAACCGAGGTCTCCCTGGGGCACATGGACCAATAAAGCTTCACAAAAAGGTGGTAAATCCCACCSCAGTAATTCCATCGGCTCCAGCTGATCTGTGGGTGAACAGCCCTGAATCACCTCAGGGTTTATTCACTTCGACTTGTTCCCTTTTCCTAGGTTATGGACAGTATTGAGCCCCTCATGTGCCTGTAACCTTTCTGGTGGAAGGAACATCCCTTCTCTTTTTTCTTTTTTTTTTTTTTTCCCCTTGATTTTCCCTAGTTTTGGGATCCCATGGGTCCATCAACTACAGCTTTGCTATAACCATTCCTGACTGTGTTCCCAGGGCATCCCCAGCTCCTTTGGGATGGACATCACRGTCTCCCAGCTCATATCCCAGCTTTTTTCATTCTTTCTCATTACCCTGGATCCACTTTCTCTCCTGCTCTGGGGCCCCAACTCATCCTGATCCAATCCACCATTTTTCCCTCCATCCAACACTAGATATCACCCCAGCTGCAAAAGAAAATTAATCCTGGAGAGGAAAGGTCCCTCCAGGCTTATTTGGGTCACAGATGAGAATTTTCCTTGTGGATTTGGCTGTCCTGGGACTGTCCTGAAAAGCAATGCTTGGGGTGAGCAGGGTTTTGGCATTGGGGTTCAGGGCTTGGGATTGCAGGGGTTTTGCCTGGATGCAGGATGGGGAAACATTTTTAAATGCCAAGTTTTTTTATATCTTGGCAGCCAACAGGTTGTAATACTGCTTGGAAAATCCAGGTCTTCCTTGATACCTGCAGACACGGTTAGATGAGTGTGAATSGGGACTGGGGCATGGAAAAGTCAATGGAAATCTCAGATTTCCAGAGTTTTTGCACTGGTGGGGATTGCAAGTGTGCTGGGAAGTGGCTTCCCTGTGCTTTTGGGTGCAGCTAGCATCCTTAGCTGCAGCACCCACTGTGGCAGCCCTGGAGCTGATCTAAGGTAGGGTCCAGTGGCTCATGTGAAGTAGGAACAGGGATAAAATCCCCCAAAATCGAATAATAACAACAACAACCAAAACCAAAGYGCGAGAATGAGGAGGCTCAGCACCTCCAGGGCTCCACGTGTGTGTAGCAAAGACTCAACCAGAGCCACCTCAGCAAACTGGCAAAAAATTCCTTTTAAATTATTCCCCTACAGATAAAAGCCTTTAAAATGGAATATTTAGAATGTCCTGCCCCTGTTGGGGATGCAGCCACCTGTGGCTACRTGCGGGCTGCAGGAGAGCGGGTGGGAGGGAGGGAGAGAAGGAGGGAGGGAGGGAGGGAGCTTGGCTTAAGTAACGCTCCTGGGTTAGTCTGGATCAAGTTCCTTCGGCTCCACGGGTCTCGGACGCGGCCGGGAGGGAAAACTGCCCTGGGAAAGAGGAGAAAAAACGCCGGGAAAAACATCGAGGACACTTTTAGGTAAGGGGGTGGCAGGGAGGGGTGGGGGTGGGTGTGCTGTGGCATTGGAGGTGGCACCATTCCCCACTCACCAGGGGGCAGCGGCATGGGGCCTGGGATGCACGGACAGGCCAGTGCCACCCCATGAAGCTGTCACCACAGGTGACCCCTCACCTGGCAGAACACCAGGTGCCCTTTGCCTTGGGCTCACCCAGCGCCCAGACCCTGCCCACAGGCGGTTTTGCTCTGTGATTATCCAAACATTTCCCAGGGAAGAGAGAGAGGAGATGGAAAGTCTTCTTGCATCCCCTCCTTTCCCTACCCACCCTGGGATGTTTTCCTGCACCCCTGGCTATTTGCTGCTGCTTCCAAACCGAGCAGTGCAGTGATGCCAAACCCCACGGAGCAGCGGAGGCTGGAGCGCAGCCCCAATTCCCATCATCCATGGCCCCATCTCCCTCCCAGGCTCCGGGCCATGTGTGTCCTCCTCCTCGGTGTCACTGAGTGGGTGCTGCCGGCTTGTCACCAAGCCCAGCAGTGGGCTTTGTCTGGAGGAGGCTGCAGAAGGGACCCCTCTCACCTTGGGATCAGTGCGGAGAGAACTGAGCTGCAGCTTTCCCTCTTTTAAACCGTTTTCTTACTTCATTCGTTTTTC